GCCGTGCCTTACAGCTCCCGGGTGGTGGAGATCCAGTCGCAGATGTCGGAGCGGGCCGTGGAGCTGCTGGGACTGCCCCAGGACCGGCCGTGCCTCCTCCTGGACGTCGGGTGAGGACAGGGACATATGGGGCGGCGGGGGCAGCGCTGGGACTGGGCACGGGGTGCGGGCACCCCGGCCCCAGGGCACCGGTGTCTGTCTGTTGTGGGATGGAGAGAACCAGGGTGGCCAGCATCGCCCGCAGAGCAGGCCCGTGAGCGCCGTGCTGTCCCTCTTCCTCCCGTCAGCTGCGGCTCTGGGCTGAGCGGGGACTACATCTCCGAGGAGGGTCACTACTGGATTGGCATGGACATCAGTGCTGCCATGCTCGGTGAGCAGGTTCTCCTCCCCTGCCGCCCTCGCCTCGCCTCAGGGAGGTCCCAAAGGTGTGAGGCGGTTGCCTGAGCTGTGCTCTGTCCTGCGCAGACGTGGCTGTGGAGAGGGAGGTGGAAGGAGACCTTCTCCTTGCAGACGTGGGTGATGGCATTCCCTTCAGGCCTGGCATGTTTGACGGCTGCATCAGGTGAGTTTGTAAACTGGAGCGAGTTCTTGATGCTCCCCATGACTGTATCACCTGTCTGAATGGTGCAGAGCAGGTGAGCACAACTGTTCTTACCAGTCATTCTCCTTGCTCTGTGCAACTCCACCTCTCTGGCACAAACTGCTGAGCTTCTGAACAGCAGAAGCAGCTTCTGACAGCTGTTTCCCAAGTGATGCTTGTCTTTTTTTGTGCTGGTGAGCTAGGAATTTCAATAAATAAAATTGGATAACAAAATGTTGTTATGAGGGTTAAGAGCTGCTTCAAGCAGATGAACAGAAAGTATGATTGTATCATTGCTCAGCTACAAGGTCCCTGGACCAAAGGTTCGATGGTTGGTTTAGGGATGAAGAGGTAGGTGAAGGGGACAGAAACACTCTTCTGCTTAGAGAATACCTCAGAAAGGTGCTGGAAGGAGCAGGGACTGTCCATTGCTCATCCTAACGCTTTGTCTGGGGCTGCTCACTGGCAAAACCTGCCTGGCCATGCAAGGGCCACACATGAGCACTTGAATTATTTGAACACCTGGCCTAACGGGGGTGCTTGGTGATTCTTCTGTGCTTGAATAACTGCTGCACCTTGCTGGGGTTTGGCATAGTGAGTCTCCAGAGGGATTTGTGTAACTACAAAACAGAAGGCAAAGGTACATGGAGAGAATTAGTGCTGGAAGTAAGCGCAAAGGGAGGTGACAGGCTCTGCAGAAGAATCAATGGCTCAGTGTCCCAGGAGTCTTGTTTTCTTTCCCAGTATTTCTGCAGTGCAATGGCTTTGTAATGCTGATAAGAAATCACACAGCCCTCCAAAACGCCTTTATCGATTCTTCTCAACTCTTTACACTGCCCTGGTAAGTGTCCTGCTTTCCCAGTCAGGCCTCTGCCTGCTTTTACGTCCTCGCTGGTGCATTTTAGGAAGGTGTTTTAAGTCAGGTATTTTAAGTAAACTGCTCTGAAGTGGAGGGCTGGCAGAGCACCCGTTTCCTCTCTCTTTGCCTGCCTGTACGGTCTCTCATGCTTCTCTGATCCCTTCTGTGACCCCTGTGCCTTGTGCTGTGGAGGAGCAGGCTCTGGAGTCTGAACAGCTCTCCTGGGAGAGTTCTCCAGGCGGCTTTGGGGAGGAGGGTGCTAATGTGTAGGCTGGGAATTGAGTGACCAGAGGAGTTGCCTGCACTGACTGACACTATTTCCTGTAGGCCCGAGGATCCCGAGCTGTCCTGCAGCTGTACCCTGAGAACTCAGAACAGGTACAGGACATCACTCAGTGGGGAAGAGGGACAGGCACAGCAAGACAATGAAGCTGTGTGCTCTTTGGGGCTCTCAATTTCTCCACATGGGATCTGTTGCTCTGGCCTTCCCACCCTCTGTAAAGCTCTTCAAGACCCTCCAAAAAAACCTGTAAGGAGAATGCTATTTCTGTGGCTTCACAAGTTGTCTTGGGGTGAGCCTTAAAATTAAAGACATTGGCAGGACACAATCAGAATCTGCTGTCCTGGATTTTCTGCTGTGTGACTGGGTTGAAGTCTGGCCTGCACTCATCGGCACACTCCTGTAACTCCCTAGAGCTGGAAAATCCAGCCCAGTATCCCCCACCTAGTAAGTGTGCTGTGCCAGTTGACTCAGGCTAGACTGTGCAGCAGGGAGAACCAAATGAAGGCAGTGGACTGGTGTCCCGATGGTGCTGCAGGACTGGGAGCGTGGTGTAGGAGCAGGAACAACCCATCTTTGGCACACGTGGTCAGCTGTGGCCGAGCCAAGAGGTCTCTTGGGCACTGCTGGTGGATGACTACTAAGTAACTCTTGCATGTGCTTCTTTTTCTAGCTGGAGCTCATTACTGCCCAAGCCATGAGAGCTGGCTTTACCGGGGGAATGGTGGTAGATTACCCAAACAGCACCAAAGCCAAGAAGTGAGTCTTGTGCCTTTGTGTATGTGGGTGGTTGGGGTGAGGCCTGGGTTCCCAAGCTGTTCATAGAATCATAGAATTTTGAGTTAGAAGACACCTTAAACCTCATCCAGTTCCAACCCCCTGCCATGGGCAGGGATACCTTCCACTAGAGCAGGTTGCTCAAAGTCCTGTCCAGCCTGGCCTTAAACGCTTCCAATGATAGTCCTGGACAGAGGTTACAGCTTAGATCTGACTCTGTTATAAACAATCTCAGTCTTTCCTGGGGACTGGGAATCACATGCTGAATCCCAGCTTCACACTCCTTGTTCTTGTTCTTTCAGGTTCTTCCTTTGTCTCTTCGTTGGGACGTCTGGCACATTACCAAAGGTGAGCAGCTCCACGACACGGCAGTTGCCTTCCTGGCTCCTGGGTGGTGTGGGTGAGAGTGGGAGCCAGGCAGCTCTGCACATGCAGATGTGATTTGATTTATACATTTGCTGTCAGTCTCACCAACTCCTGCTCTCCCTGAGATGTGGTTTCTTTGCCGCAATTTCTGTAAGACCAGTTTGTTCCTGCTACGGTCCTTTATCTTACAGAGCCCTGGGTTCCCCTTAATTTAGATGACATGACTGTTAGCTCTGTTTGTTCCAGAGGAGAGCAAAACTTCCCAAATTTGCTTTTCAGGGCCTTGGTACCGAGTGTGCTGATGGAGAAGAGATGCACCAGGCAAAGTTCACCAATGAGAGGTATTGTGTAGGAGAAAAAGCTACAAATTCTCCCCAAGCAAGGAGTGGGGGGGCTTATAAAGGCTGGGTTTTCTAAGCAAGGAGGGGGGGGTGCTTATAAGGGCTGGGTTTTGCTGACTGAGGAGCACAGTGCTGCCATGTGAGAAGTGACTTAAGAGAGGAGACTGGCAGGACCCTTGGCAGCCCAGATGGGCAGTGCTTTATCTTATCGAAGGGGCCCAGACACAAGGAACAGAACAGGTTAGTCTGGAGGACTTTGCTGTGGTTGATGCTTACCCTAGCACTTTCTGTCTGGCTCTCGGCTCTCCAGCTCAGTGCTGTAGTATAGGCCAGTGGTGATGTGAGGGGGATATTTACAGTGCTGCTCATAGCAAGCATGAGTGGTTTCTGTTGGGGAGGCAGGCTGCTGTGCCTGAAGCGCGGTGTTGCCTTTCTTTTGCTGTCAAATTGTTTGCTTAACTCTGCTTAGCTGTGGCCTGGTGGGTTTCTCCTGCTGTCCAGGTCTCCTCCCATGGTAGTGGTGCAGGGAGGAGCCCCTCCTGCAGCCAGTGGGAGAGACAGAGAACAAAAACCAGAGGAAAGTCGTCATGCCCGCCAGGAGCTTGTGGCTGGCTTGTTTTCCTGCCTCTTACATTGCTCTTCTATGCTCGCTTAGTCCAGGGTGTACCTCCTGTTGGAAGGTAATAGCAGAACTGGCAACTTGCTGGGAAGCCAGAGCTTTGTCTGCTGTGTTTGGAGTAGAGCAGACAAGGGGAAGGTGTTTGTGCTTAAATCTGTATTCCCCCAAGGTCCCAGAGCCCAGCGTACCGCTGATGTGTCAGATACAGCACAGGGGAGTGCTGGGCTGCTGCAGCCCATGGAGGGTGGGTATCCCTCAGCTCAGAGCAGGGGCTGGAAGCAGCCTCTTCCCTCAGTGCATCTGGAGTTGGACTGTTTGACCACCTACCCCTCTTCACCCCGAGGGTCATGGGAGCGGTACTCGCTGGTTTTATGAGGCAGAGGGCATGCCCAGTTCTGGGTGGCAATCCTCCAGGGCAGAAATCTGTGCCCCTGCACCTCAGTTCCTCTCCAGCTGCTGTCCACTTTCTCTGCAGGACACGGTTCAGAAATGCCAAGGGCAAGTCTGTGAAGAAAAGCCGGGACTGGATCCTTGAGAAGAAGGAACGTAGACGACGACAGGGCAAGTGAGTTCAGCTGGGTCCTGCCTCAGCTCAGGCTGACTGTGCTGGCCTGGCCTGCTGTCACCTGGTCAAACTCCTGCCCTAAACCCACTCTTCTTCCCCGCCCAGGATCACTGTGCTTAGTTGCTCTCTGATTTTCTCCACAGGGAAGTGCGAGCAGACACAAAGTACACGGGTCGGAAGCGTCGCCCTCGCTTCTGAATTGCTTTGGACACTGCTGCTGTGGAATATAGCGTGTTGATGCCTCCAGCAAGCCTCCCGTGGATGGCACAGGTGGACACTTCAGGCCTGGGATTTGCTGGGACAGATCTTTGTGGCCCCGGTGCTGTCCAACAGCCAACTGCAAAGCTTCCAGCCCTGTTTTCCTGGTGCAGGCAGACAGTGCTCAGGTCACTTGGTGTCTGCAATGCCATTGTTTATGTTCTTGAGAGTGCACTGAACCATCTGGAGCTCCAGGTGAGGCAGAACATTATGTCCACCCTCCACTAAACAGTCAATGAGTCAGAACTATCACTGGTCTCCTGTATCTTGTGCTCAGTGCAGGGGCGTACTGAGGTAGGAACAGAGCACCTAGTTCCCTGCCAGCTTCCCCTCTGCCCTCAGGCAGGGAACCAGGCACTATAAAGGTGTGTGTCCCATGAGGGCAAATCCTCCTGGCAGAAGTGCTGTTCCTGTGGCAATTAGTCCTGTGGGCACTTCACATCAGGCCCAGCTTGTATGCTTTAGTTCTCTCAGGGCTGTCTTGCACCCTAGCCCTTGTTCCCCATCATCTTCTCCCTTCCCCTGAGAGAGAGGTGCCAGCCAGAGCTTTACAGTTACAAATGTTTATTCTACATAAAAATTCCACAAAATGGGAAGCTGTTTTGCACCCAAAGCTTTGGGAGAAGGGGAGGCTAGCAGGAAGGGAAAGGGGGAAGGAGAAAAGAGGCAACATACAGTGTCATCCAGCCCAGTGAGACAGAGCAAGCCAGGGTCAAGATCCACATAGAAAACAAGGACACTTAGCTCACAGTACAGCAACAGTACAACTCCACGGGGAGGGGGGACTTGGAAAGCTTTCAAGTACATTTAATTACTAAAAAAACCCCAAAATAATCCCCAGTTCGAGTGCAAGCTGTGCGTGCCCCACACTGCTTGTGGAATACTGCATCGACACGCTCCCGGTGCTGGGAGGGCAGGTGGCACTTGGAACAGAGGTGGGGTAACCCAAAGGACAAGCGGTCTGAGGTTGGGGGCTGGAAAGAAAAAGTGAAATGTCTCCCCAAAGCACAACCACACTGTTGGTGATTTGGTCTGTACATGCAACAACAGGTAGGTAAAAAGGAACTGAGCGGGGCTTCCCATAGTGCAGGGGTAATTATTGCACCAAAACACCCTCCCCTCACAGCGAGGACAGTGTGAACCTGCCTGTGGGGCAGCAGTGGCAGGCTGACTCTCCGCACCCCGCGTTC